ACACACACACACACAGTCTCAGGAGACCACAGCAGTACTATCGGAAGAGTTTTAACCCTCCATTGACTCATTTCCATGTGCCAACTTTCTTTTCATTCAACAAACAATGAGCCTAGGGATGGTAAGAAAAAGCAATAACCGTTTTTCTGCCAGCAACTTGTGTGTTAGGGCATCTGAAGCCTGGGATTGCTCTGGTGACGGCCAGCACTTAGATCATCTTCAACTGCGCTGATGAAGTAATTATGAGGATAATCATTTTTTGCAGGGACATAGATTTCTGGACATCGAGCGCATAAATAACCACAAAATCAACTTTATTCTGGTAACAAACAAAAGTGACAGAGTGCTTTGCAGCAAATAGATGAAGGGAAGTAAAAGAAAGGGATGAAAGCAATACAAACACAGAACTTAAAAGCGACTGAAGTCACAGTCAGATAAACCGTCAAATGAAACAAGTTGACAGTAACATAAATACATAAAATACAAATATAACACACAACAGAGAAGCATGTGACAGCGACTTGCAATAAAAAAAAACCCTTTCAAAGCGATTCAAAGTCAAATTATTAAATTGGTTTCACCAAAGCATCAAAGAGAACGTTTGAGTGTTTTAAATGGGAAATGAACTGATGACGTCGGGTTTATAAAAAAGTGATATATCCTGACTGTACTTCTGCTGGGTATATATCATGTTTGTGTTGTGTGGATAGAGTCTGACTGACTGTCTATCAGCCAGTACGAGCCTTTCACTGACAGAAATAACGATGCAGAAAAGATGTGCAATCATGCTTCCATTATCTGAAAAAGTTTTCATTCAAATTTTTGTTGTTTATGGTTAAACTGCAAAATATCAAGCCTCAATTACATTTGTTTGTCATAAGGGTTTGGTATTTGCATCATATTGCCATTTTGAATATTTTGTGATACATAAATAAATCAGCTGATACAGTGGTGTTGCAATTTTTTGCAAAAGATCCATATGCATATTGGTTGGGCTCAACATGTGGATTTACTACATCATACTACCGCTGGAGAATATCACAGCTCAGTGTAAGACTGCAGATTTTTTCGTTCATCATTTATAACCTAACTTGATTGAGGGAATTTGAGACTCAGTGTGCCCTGTCTGCTGGTGCTCTGATGATAAATTGATGAATATACTGAATAAGTAATAACTGTAAAATT